GCGGGCCATAGGGCCGGGGCGCTTCCGGGGAGCCGCGGGTCAGGGCGCTGCGGCGGAGACCCAGGAAGAGACCCTTCTCCTGGGAGGAGCGAGGGGCACGTGGGTGGCGTCTCCGCCAGGTTATGTGTGTCCCGGTGGTCAGGTAACGGGTCACAGCGCTGCGGGCAGGCTGGAAGGGAAGTTTTGCCCCAGCGGCCTGCCACACAGAGAGTTCACATCATCAGCCTTCCAGGGGCACAGCAGGCCTGTCGCGAGGGTTTCTCCGCAGCTGCAGGTCACAACCTGTCCACTGCGACCCCTCACCAGCCCAGCACCCACAGGTGGTCACTACTGGGAGGCACCCCTCAAGGGACCGATAGGCTAGTGTTGTTTCGATTTGCAGAACAAGTGGGGCCTGCTAAGCAACTTGTACTATTTGGGTGTGCATGCTGACATGTGGTGACAGTGGCTTGTGTCCACAGGCCGAGTTGATGGAAGAACTCTGAGTCCAACACTCCTAGGCAAGGACCCGTGAAGAGTCACGTTCCTAGCTGTGAGCGGTGGTCAGGGCCCCCGGCTCCCCTGAAGCTTCAGTGACTGACCCAGGAGAAAGATCAGAAGGCACACGACTGCCTTGGAGAAGGACTAACCGTGTCCGGTTCTAGCCTTGGCGGTGTACTGGTTAGCGTTGGGCTGCCGCCCAGAGTCAGAAGTTGGAAACCACCAGCCACTCCACGGGAGAAAGACGAGGCTTTCCACTTCCACAGAGTTCACAGTCTCGGAAACCCGCAGGGGCATTCTACCCTGCCCTGTAGGCTCGCCATGATTCAGATTCGGCCCGCCGGCAGAGAGTTTGGGTTTTTGGTGGAGTCGATTCAGACTCAGCCACTTCATAGGATTGGGTAGAACTGTCCCGACAGGTTTCTGGGGTTGCCCTCTTTAGGGAAGCACTCTGCCACCTCTTCCTCCTGTGGGGAAACTGGGACAGGTTCTTCTCTGGGACCACTGGCCTTTCCCTTGTAGCCAAGCGCTTACACCACTGTGCCACCAGGGCTTCACAAAACAGAGCTGCTGCCCTTGTAGTCACCAGAGACCCTCAAAAGCCCACTGCCACCGTGATGGGAAAGCTGTGTGTGTGCCGTGGCTGTTGTTAGCCTGGCGTGTGCCGAGGAGAATTGCTCCATGGCCTTTGCAAGGCTAGTCTGGAGTCGGTTCCAACTCAGAGTGACCCCAAGGACAGGGTAGAACTGCCCCTGTGAGTTTCCGAGGCGAACACTTTCCGGGAGTAGAAAGTGCCATCATTCTCCCGAGGAGAAGGATGGTGGTTTGGAACTGCTGACCTTGCAGATCCCGCAGCCCAATGTGTAACTGTTCTGCCGCCAGGACTCCTTTTGGCCTAGCAGTTGAGTGTTTATTTAACCTTTAGTGCCACTCAGGGACTCCCTGCCACGTGCTAAGGTATAAGATATGTTTGGGCAGTGAGCGGACACAGGCTGGACTCACTTTTCTAAGAGTTATCCAGTCGATCAGCCTGGTACCTGCTGGGGGTGGTGTGGAGAGAACCACTCCAAAGCCGATACCCTGTTAGAAGTGCCTTTGTTAGGAGCATAATAGGGGCCAGTGTACAGTGAGGCTCAGCTCACAAGGTCCTGGGGACAAAAGGCATTCTCTTGTGAGAAGAGACAACACTATATCAGTTATGGGGCTGGAAGAAGCATGGAATTCATCTTCTGTGTATCCTTGTGGCCAATAAAGTGGGACAGGCTTAAGATTTGAGAACATACGTTATTAAGACAAAGCAGACTGACTGTCATCGAGCCGATTCTGACTCGTAGCGTTTCTAAATGAGTAAAACTGCCCCTGTGGGGTTCCACGGCTACAGTCTTCCCAGGAGTAGAGACCTCCATCCTTCGCCTGCAGAGCTGCCCATTGCATGGCCCACCATGCCACCAGGGCGCCTTTTTTTGGAACAGGATGAGAACTTTTGAATTGTGCTATCCAGGTTATAAGTGGCAGAGTGTCCGAAACCAGGGAAATCCATTTATATGGCGGCGACACTTGAATCATGTTGGTTTGTGCGAAAGGATGAACGTTAGCTGGAAAAATCAGCCCTTCTGCGAGAGAAGGTGGAGAAGTGAGGTTTTACATGCTTTCTGTTTAGTGTATTCCAGAGTTAAGAAGCTTCTCTGTGTCCCAGTGGGTTAAGTAGTGATGGGTTGCTAACCACCAGGTTGTGGTTCAAACCCATCACCTGCCCTGCGGGAGAAAGTGAGGCTGTCTGCTCCCGTCTTTACAGTCTTGGAAACAAGGGTCACTGAGTTGAAATTGACTTGACAGCAGTGGGTTTGTTTTCCCTCCGGGAAGGCCACACACTGTGTGTATGAGGGGCCTTCAAAATGTTCACACAAAAATGGAATGAAAAGACAATACAATTTTCCCACAAACTTTTTGGAGTGACATGTATATATATATATAGGTGTATATATAGGTACCTGTAGATAGTTACAGGTGTATATACAGATCTTTGTCTACATTTACACTCATCCATTTTTCTGTAGATTTCTATATATGCCATACATGCATGCATATATATATGCATATATACACACACCTGTAGCTATTTGTCTGTACCGATATGTATACACACGTGTGTATATGAATGTTAGAGTTCATAGAATAATTATTGTTATTTGTGCTTTTCCTTCTAAATTTAAAAATAGTGAGCATATGTATCTTTTCTAATTTGAAAAAAAAATTACAGGATAATAACAATAAGCTTCTCTTAAATGCTTCAAAGAATTAACTACTGAGACTGTGTAGGCATGGGGTTTTCATTTTGGGATGTTTTTTTCTGAATTAAACTACTTTTTAAATAGCTATAGAACTTTTCAGATTTGCTTTCATTTTGGGTAAATTGAATCTTTAAGTAGTTCATTCACTTTGGCTACATTGTCCACTTGTTCCTTTATTTTTGATTAACATCTGGGTTAATACCCTGCTGGTCCTGGCTGGGGGCGGCGGGAGGGATGGATGTGGCCAAGACATTAGAACCTCTTGGACCCATACCAGAAAACAGAATCCTCCTCGCAGGTATTCTATGAGTTAGTGCAGCTCAGACAAGCCCACCAGCCTGAGGAGTCCATGCTGAATGTCCTACAGTGTATCCGGGTGCAGTGCTGGGGCCTGGACAGCGGCCTTTCTCTAATCTCCCCAGAGCCTGCAGCATCTGCTTTATCGCCCTTTTACAGCTGAGGAGAATGAGGCATGGAAGGGCCCAGTGAGTGTTTGATCACGCCCTGGTCGGCCTGGTGGCCCCAGAACATGCAGCTGCTGCCGGGCCTTCGGGGTAATTGTCAGCTGTGAGCCCAGTGTTCCAGAGTCTCAGACCTCAGAGATACGGCAGGCTTGGTTCCAGGCCTCTACAGGTGTGGGCAGCACGTAACCACTACACCTCCAGGGCTCCTGAAGACACACGCTCTTATGTGTCCTCCAGGTGATTCCAACCTGCAGTGACCCTGCAGGACTGAGCAGAACTGCCCCTATGGGCTTCCATGGAGGCCGCCTGCAGGAAGGTTGCTTCTCCTGGAGTGGTTGGTGGGGCCAAACCTCTGACCATTTGCTTAGCAGCTGAGCACTAACCCCAGTGTCCCTGGGGCTTCTGAGCGTGTTTGGTCCAAACAGCAACAAGGAAGCCTTGCTGTCAGGTGGGTGCTGACTCATAGCGTCCTGCAGGACAGTGGGATTTCTCCCACGATCATCTTTCTGGAGTGGATCTCCAGGCCTTTTCTCCTGTGCAAGGGCTGGAGCAGTTCAAACCCCTGACCTTACAGTTAGCAGCCCAGGGCTTAACCACTGTGCCACCAGGGCCCCGTGGAGCAAATGTTAAATATGTTCCTCTGTGTGCTGCCAAGGACACCTTCATCATGGCCTGGAGGGCAGACTCTGCTTAGTCACTGTTCTTGCAGAACACTGCAGAGTGGCCTGGGCGGGGTGGCCTCTGACCTCCCCTACTTTCTTCTGGGACACCCCAGCCTGCATGCCCCAGCTACAGCTTTGCCCCTGCAAATAGACACCCTCGGCCACGCCTCAGGTGGCAAGAAGGAGGACTGTGCCACCTCCGGAAGTGGACAGAGGACAGGGGACCTGGAGCCTGGTCTGGAAGGGGTGCTGGCACTAAGTGGGCTGTGTCCTGGACCACGCAGACTCCAGCCCTGGGCAGCAGGAGGGGCGAGAGAGCGCTTGTCCAGCCAGCACAGAGAGCTGGTGCGTCTGGGGGAGGCTGTGGGTGGAAACGAGAGCTGCTCCCATGCCCACTCCTCAGACCAGGGCTGCTGTCTTTTCCTCAGGCTCCTCCTCCGGGCTTCCTTCGCTGCCGTTTAGAACGTGGGTAGCACATAGGGAGGGGAGTGGCAAGCAGTCCTGCGGAGCTGCCAGCTGCCCCCTCTCTGGCCTGGATCCACACAGACTCCCAGCTGTGGAGTTGATTCCGACGCACAGTGACTCTACTGCAGGACAGGGTGGAACTGCCCCCGGGGGGTGGGGGGTGGGGTGGGGGTTCCGAGACTGTGACTCTTTACAGAGGAGATGGCCTCACCTCTCTGTGGAGTGGGTGGTGGTTTCGAACCGCTGATTTTGTGGTTAGCAGCCCAGTGTGTAACCACTGCCTCACTGGGGGCTCTTCAAAAGCAGCTGCATCCCCAGGGTGCACAGCCCGCTTGCTTCTGTTGCAGTGCTGCCTGGAAGCTCCAGGGTGCAGCGGCCATGGAGGTGCCAGTCGGCGGCGGTGACCTCAGCAGCAGCCACAGCAACAGCCCAGCCCAGGGTCAAAAGCACGAAACCGCAAGTGCAGCCGGAGAAGAGGTATGCGTCTAATTGTATCGCTCTGCTTACTGGTGCAAACGCCAGGGAATGCCGGCTGCTTGGGCGGGCAGGCACGGGCACACTCAGTCTGTAGGCGGTTTGGTGGCGCTTTCCTTTGTTGGCTTCCTTTCCAGTCATTAAACTACAGACTTGACCATGCACCCGGCTTTCAGTAAAGGCATACAGCCGAGTACCAGGAGCTGGTCCTTGAACATACCCTGGCACGTGGCTTGTGTCTGCGGCTCACGTGGTTCTGGCTGCGAACCTGCTATTCTGAACGGGACGAAGAGCCAGCCTATTTACAGATGGTTCTGTGGTTAACTCCACCATTGCTCTTCAGCTGTTGACCCAGAGAGCATGCTTATAAACAGCACCGAGGGAGCTGAGGCTGGTTGGGAGAGGCTGTTAGAGGCGGGCATAGGCCATCTCCTTTGCCACCCTGTCCCCAAAGGATCGAGGCCAGTGAGGAGGCTGGCGAGGAGTGAGTGGGGATCTGGCACCGGCCCCTCTTTGTCCACCTTGGCTGTACTACGGAGTACTGTCAGTACTTAGGGCTTCATGTATTTGGTGTAAGGGGGAAGAACTGACTTTCTGTCGAAGCCTGAAAAGAGAATTCATTTCATGAGTCTAAATTCTTAGTGTTTTTTTTAAAAAAAAAAATCAATAATAGACATAGCCTTAATAATAAATTACTAAAATTAGCTTAAGAATTTTTAAATTAAGTGCAAATTCAGCGAAATTGCCCCTGTCACACTGATGTACAGTTAAGGGCCCACTGTAGAAAATTTGAAGTCGAGATCACTGGGGGCCCTGGAGTTGGCTCCCACTCCCAGCGGCAGGCAGGACAACAGCGGAACAGGACCCAGGCATGCGCCGTCTCACAGCCGTTCCAATGCCCATCGTTGCCGCCATGGGGCCCACCCATCTTGTTGAGGGACCTTCTCTCTTTCGAAGCCCCTTCACCCGGCCAAACATGATGTCTTCTCCAGGGACTGGTCTCTCTCGACACCATGTCCACAGTACGTGGGTCGGAGTCTTGCCGTCTTTCCTTCTAAGGAGCATTGGCTATGCTTCTTCCAAGACAGACTTCTCTGTCTGTTTGGCAGTCCCTCATACCGTACACATTCTTCACCAGCACGATAATTCAAATGCACCTTTCTAAATTCTATCAAAAGGCAAAAGGATGTAACAATCCCATCAGCCAATACAAGGGAGCTTTAGAAAGTTCAAGGAAAGATGGAGTTGAAAGAGAACGGGATTTTCCCATACACTTCTTGAACTCCCTCATAGTTTATCTCTGTCCATCGATATTCACTCAGCCCTCGCTTACCAAAATGCAACTCCACTGTACCTGTATTACTGTGATAACGTTATTGACGGATATCCCACAGACAACTGCACGTTCTTCTGTATGATGTTTAATGACTTCACTAGAGAGTCCTTTGTAAGTCATAATTGACTTGTCCCCTTCCATGTGGTGGGGCCTAGAGGGTTTCTAGTGTTTGGCTCCCAGAGCAGGAAGCGCCCTGTGTCTGCGGGGCTCCAGAGGTTCTGTGGAGCTCTGGGCAGATGCCACACCGAGGCTTGTTCCGTAGAGGGAGGGAACGCCAGCCAGTGAGTCTTTTCTGCTTTGCAGGGCTGCCCGATCTCAGTCTCAGTTACTCTGTTGCTGCAACAGCCTGAAAGCAACAGTTCACAATACAGCCAATAAAATAAGCAAGCAGCCGTGTACCAATAAAACTTTATTCACAAAAACAGACGGGGGAAAAAGGCAGATTTGGCCTGAAGGCCATAGTTTGCAACCCCTTGTTCTCGAAACAGCACAGCAGGCTTTTAGATTTGAAGACGAGCAGGGATTTTGTTGTTTTTTCCTGATTGGGGTTACTGTGTCTTTATACACTCACAAATCAGTTCGAAGTTCTGCTACAGACACTTAATAATTCAAAGGCCAAATCACTTCCTTTGAGAGTCCCAGAATCTAACAATGGCAAATGAGAAATTTGAAATGCTTCACCATTCACATTGTTTTGCACTTAAACAAAGGGGCCTGCCACCCTCAGCCTTGGCCCCAGGTGTGGCCTGCCTGGAGGGGGAGGAGCAGGCCCTTGATGGAAGCTTGGCACTCCATGTTCTGGGCCGGGGCGTCCGAGCAGCCCTTCCTAATGCTCTGCTTCTCATGCAGGACCCCGTTTTAAATTAAGTGCCTTCGCTTTGAGGTATTTTCAAATGCTGCGCTTCCCTATCAACACGGGTTTGTCAAACCAGGAGCAGGGCCAAGTGCTGTCCCGTGTAGAGCGGCTCTTGCTCCGAGCTCAGGTGCTGTAGATGAAAAACACAGTTCTAAATCCCGTCTGAATGCGGCCGCCCTCTGTGGCTCCGGCCAGCCCCTCTGCCGGGGCTGTCTAGCCCATCATCTGCGCACCGGCAGCATCCCCTGAGACACGCACGTGATTTATTGTGAGTCGCAGGTTTTGCAGGAGGAAGATAGGATCCCCGGGGAATGGCAGCCGACTAAGTAGCAAGATGAAAGGGATGTTATCATCACAAAATAATGAATCTGGGATTTTCAAGATATCAAGAGATGACTCTGAAATGTCGGTTGGGTGATTTAGTGCTGGGCTCTGGTGGCATACACATTGGGATGCGATCCTCATGGTCTCATGGTCGGCAGTTCGAAACCACCAGCAGCTTCTTGCAGTGGGCTTTCTACTCCCATAAACGGTTACAGCCTCAGAAACCCACAGGGGGTCGCTATGAGTCAGCATTCATTCGCTGGCAACCAGTTTGGTTTTGCTTTGGTTTCTGGTCAGAGGCGGTGGGTGGAGAAGTCGTAAGGGGATTCCGTTAGCAAGGCAGGGAGGGGGTCCATCAGATCCCCTTCCTCTCAGCACATCCCCATGGGGGTAGTGTGGGGGGCATCTCTGTCTCCAGGGTCCATGTGGTGAAACCTGGGGGCAGGTTTGGTCACAACTGGCCAAGGGGGGTGGTGCTCTTGGCACCTAAGGGGGAGCGGTCAGGGCGCTCCTCCCTATCCCAGAGTGCACAGAATAGAGCCCACCACAAAGATGGCTCCTTACGTCACGTCGGGGGTGCAGAGGTTGAGACAGCCTGGTATGAGGCAACACTGAAAAGCGATCTCAGTGAATCCTTCTTAAAAACAAACATACCTACCCGTGGCTGTCCGGTCTTGTCGGTTCCATTATACAGCGACCCAACAGAACAGAGTCGAACCAGTCCCGGCCTTCCCCTACTGTCATTGTCACAGAAGCCACCTGTTCCACATGGAAATCTGTCCCCCGCCCCCCATCCTTCCTGTTCACAGGTGAGCGCTCAGCCACAGCGCCCCCAGGACTCCTGTGCAGGTAGTCTTGAGGAGGAGTCTAAGTGAGGACAGTCCCTGCCTCACTGCACTGTCCCCTCACCTCGGCCTGGGCTTTTTGTTTGAGGGCCTCACCTGAGAACTCAGATTTCTACCCTATTCCCCGACAGTGTTTGATCAAGAGACCGGCTCCCACCTGGGGTATTTGCCACACCCCTGCACCCCATCACTGCTAGCTCCCCTTGGCCGCAGCTGAAAATTGCAGCCTGAGCTCATTCGTGTTAGAAGACCTTAAGAACTGCTCTCCCAGTGAGCACTACCTCAGCTCGTTTGCCTTACTCCCTGGGAGGTGGAGGTGGTCGGTGGTCCACCGTGGGAAGTAGGCCTCTCCACATCTGGACAATGGTGATTTGGATACACTACAGCCTGGCTATTTCCAGCTGCCTTGGCAAGAATGAACTGGAGGCAGCCCCGTCCACTGGGATAGCCGCTGGCCATGTGGTTGCTGGTGCCTTCGAGTTGGTTCTGAGTTCTAGCCACCCCGTTGACACAGCAGAACCAAACATTGCCCCAGGCTAACCGTGTCTGTCTGTTGAATCCATTGTGGTAACCACTGTCAGTTCATCTCCTTGAGCGTCTTCCCTTTCCCCTGCCTTCCCTCTACCGAACATGACATCCTTTTCCAGGGACCGGTCCCTTCTGATAGTATGTCCAAAGTATGTGAGATGGGCTCTCACCACCCTGGCCTCTAAGGAGCATTCTGGCTGTGCTTTTGCCAGGACAGACGTGTTTGTTTGTTTGGCAGTCCCCGGTCCTTTCAGTACCTTTCACCAGCACCCTAATTCAAGCGCCTCAGTTCTTCCAGCCAGTGGCGGGAACAAAATACCAGGGTGCTGCCTTGTGAATGTGCTTTTAAAACCCCACTGAACTGTGCACTTTCAAATGCTAATTCCATGGCGTCTGAGTTATGTTTCAATCCCTGGAAGTGCAAGAAGAGACACAAGAACGAGTGGAAGACGAGGTCTCTGGTCTTTGGTTGTTGCCCCACCAGCCTCGCAGTCGGGCTGCAAGGCTTGTCCTGTTTGGGGACTCAGACCCCCCAGTGGCAGGTGGGAGGTTCCTGGGCCGTCAGGACGCAGGTGTAGAGACCCCTTCCTAAGTCCACCCACCTTGGGCTGTGGAGCTCCCGAGCAGCTCTGGGTTTTACAGGTTTACATTTCCACACAGAATCCCAGCGTCTTTAATTTCCCAGGAGCCTCCTGCCTCAGTCTTTCTGTTACAGTGCTACTCCCTTGTTGCTTCTCTGTGTGTTCTGCGCTTGGACCCAGTGAGCAAGGGCAGTTTCCTGCAGGGATTGGTTAAAGACGTGAATCTAAAGCACAGGATCCCAAACGCTTTTCAGAAAGCCAAAAAAAAAAAAAAAAGGCGACTCAGTGTCCCCTGGCGACTCCCACCATTTGTCCGGTAGCCCATCATCCAGCACAGTGTAGAGATCTGCTCTGGCAGCCCCACTGGACCGCCCCAGCACCCCTAGGGGCGGCAGCACCCACTTAAGGCAAGCCCCCTCTGGGTAGAGGCTGTAGGGCAGGGTGTAAACTGAGTCTGTGGTGCAGGAAACAGCCAGGAGGGCAGGGGCGGGGGCAGGAGAACAGAGCAGAGCAGTAAGGGCTGATTCAAGCGCAGAGTCACTAGCAGCAGACTCAGGAGGGGAGAGCAGGTCATAGAGCGAGAAATGGCCTGCTAGGTGAGGCGCCTTCAAAAAGATTGTGGACAACGGAAGAAAAGGCCAATGGGTTTTTTCCCCCCACAGGCTATTACAAGCCCCCCTCGTAGAAGCTTATCTTAATGGAGAAACCCTAACTTCTCTGTGTGCAATATAAGAACACCCCGTGTGTGGCAGTCGTGAGGATGGCGAGGACCAGGCAGTGGTTCCTTCTGCTCTCCAGAGTGGCTCTGAGTTAGAGCCGACCTGACAGCACCCAGCAAGGTCAAAAGGGCTCCAATGGGGAACAAGCAAGCAAACCCAATCCCAGAGGGCCGACTGGCTCCATCAGCGTTCCTGGGGAAGCCCATTGCAGGCCTCTCCTTAAGGGACTGCTGAGCGGCATTGAACTCTCTGCCTTTAGGTTAGTAGTTGAGTGCAACCATTTGCACCCCCTCAGCTCAACTCAGAACGCCCCGCTGCCATGAAATCTATTCCAGTCTAAAGGCCAGAGCAGAACCGCCTCCTGAGACTGCAGGTCTTGTCCAGAGCAGAAAGTCTCAGCTTTCTCCCTCGGACTGACCTTTTGGTTAGCAGTCCACCTCATGACCCACTGTCCCACCAGGACCCCTCGGTGCCAAATCAGGACCTGGCCGTAATCCTCTAAACAGCCCTGTGAGGTGGGCGGTGGCTAAGTGCTACGGAACCTGTGTGGTCAACTCTGTATTTGCAAGGCATCCACTGCGTCTCTCAGTCCCAGGCACGGGGCTCTGAATTAGGGCCCTTAGTTGAATCAAGCGACATCTCCAGTCACCGAGCCCAGCGTCGGGCAGAACCGGGCTCCTCAGGCCAGAGCTTGCACTGGACCATGAAGACCCGGAGGCCTGTGCTGGACTGTGGGAAGCTGGGCGGGGAGCCTCAAGTCCTAACCCTGTAGATGAGACGAGAGCATGCTCTCGGATATAAGAATCCACCCTACAGCGAAACAGGCGCTTCCAATGCCCCTTCACGCTGTGCTTTCCTAGGAAGCCCAGGACGGGGATCCTGATGCTGAACATGGGCGGTCCGGAAACCCTGGGGGACGTTCACGACTTCCTGCTTAGGCTCTTCCTGGACCGGGACCTCATGACGCTCCCATGGCAAAAGTAAGATGTGTGTGCTGTGTGCCCCTGCGCTTTTCAGTAACGGGGCCACGTGCTTGGCCTGAGTTTGAATCCCAAGTCTGCTGCAAGTCTGCCTTCTCTGGTAACACATGTTCATGTTCACGGGTGTCTGGTGGCGTTGAGAGCAGCATTGTGGATTTCTGTTCGGTGTCAGAGGGGTGTGGCTTTGGAAGGCTTACCAGGAGAGAGGGAGTAAGTGTCCATACCCCACCGCACCACCCACCCCGAGCCCTGGGAGCCACAGCTGTCCTGACCTGACCCCTCTGAGTCCCTTTAGAGAGGTGCTTGCACTCTGCATCGACAGCCGAGTCACTGGGACCCTGACTACCCTGTCCCGCCGCCCCTCAGCCTCCTGTGTGGTGTGGGTGAAGTCACCGAGCAAGTGTGTTTCCCATTCAGCCGCTTGTACAGTGCACGCATCCCTGTCCTGACATGCGCTGCAGTCCCTCACCGTAACGGCCCTCTTCCCACCTCCTCCTGGCCCTCTGAGCGGTGGTGCAGGGCATGTGTTGCCCTGTGTGTCTCCTGTGAGTGGACGATCGGAGGAATCCCCTCCTCCGGGTGGGGGTGTGTCTGAAGGGCGATCTCAGTGGGCTCTAGGTGGCCAAGGCCCTTATGGCTATCCCTCCCCTCTTCCTCTTTTTTAAAAATCATTTTACTGGGGGCTCATACAACTCTTATCACAATCCATACATACCCCATTGTGTCAAGCACATCTGCACATTTGCTGCCATCATCATTCTCAAAACATTTGCTTTCTACTTGAGCCCTTGGTATCAGCTCCTCAGTTCCCCCCTCCCCCATGAACCCTTGATCATTTATAAATTATTATTATTTGTCATGTCTTACACTATCCGATGTCTCCCTTCACCCACTTTTCTGTTGTCTGTCCCCCAGGGAGGGTGTTATAT